GTTGGATCAGTATACAGATTTTACAAGATATAACGTAAAATGTCCAGAAAGGGAGGGAGGCACAAATAAACAGGAGTGGCCCATCAACTGGAAAACAATCAGGCAAGAAAACTGCCTGTGAGAGGCCCTGATGTTGGATTTAACAGAAAAAAGCTTCAAAGCAGCCATTACAAATATCTTTAATGAACTAAATAAAATCATGTTTAAATAAATTGAGGAAGGTACAACGACTATGTTTCATCAAATAGAGAATATCAATAAAATAGAAAATGACTATGAAAAAGAACCACTTGTTAATTCTGGATTAAAGAGTTAAAGAAACTAAATGAAAATTTCCCTAGAGGGGCTCAATAGTAAATTTGAACTGGCAGAAGAAAGAATCAGCAAACTGGAAGACAGAGCACTAGAGATTATGCATCCTAAAGAAGAGAGAGAAAAAAGAATTAAAAAAGGAACAGAGCCTCAGAGAAATGTAGGACACAATTAAGTGCACCCAGAAATGGGTACAGGAGTAGCATAAAGAGAGGAGAGAGAGAAGGGGCAGGAAAATATTCAAAGAAATAATGGTCCAAACTTCCCAAATTTAATAAGAAACATTAATGTACAAATCAAAGAAGCTCAACATACTTTAAGCAAGATAATGTGAAGAGATCCACACCCAGATATATCATAGTAAAAATGCTGAAAGCCAAAAAGAGAACTTTGAAAAAAGCAGGAGAAAAATGACTTGTTATGTACAAGGGAACAACAATGACATGAACAGTTGACTTCTCATCAATCCAAAAATGAAATTAAGAAAAAAAAATCCATTTACAATAACATTAAAAATAATAAAATACTAAGGGATAAATTTAATAAAAGAAATGCAAAGCTTACACTCTGCAAACTAAAAAACAGTTGAAAGAAATTAAAGGATATCTAAATAAATGGAAAGATCCATGTTGATGAATGAGAGGATTTAATATTGTTAAGATGGTAATACTCTCCAAAGTGATCTACAGATTTAAGACAATTCCTACCAAAATTCCAGCTGGCTTCTTTTGACAAGCTGAAATTGACAAGTTATTCCTAAAATCCATAGGGAAATTCAGGGTCCCAGAATAGAGAAAACAATCTTGGGGGGTAAAAAAAACTGCAGGACTCATCCTTCTAAAATCTAAAGGAAAAAATTTTTAAATATATATATAAAAAAAGATCAGAATACTTTGGAGGATATTTGGGGAATACATTCTTTTTTTTTCCTGAGGAATATTTGCCTTGAGCTAACATGTGTTGCCATTTTTCCTCTTTTTGCTTGAGGAAGATTCGCCTTGAGCTAACATCTGTGCCAATCTTGTTCAGAATATATCAAGCTAGACATGAAACCTCTCATCATAAAGGAAAACTAAGAGTTTTGTAGAGCTACTAATAACTAAAAAAAAAGACAAAAGATGATAAATGTTTTGGGAAAAATCTCCTAAACCTCTTTATCGCTGTAACATTTAATCACATATACATTATGCTGACCCACCTCCCTCCTTCCAGCCTGCTCGTCCATATACTCCTACTATGATCATTCATGAACTCATTAGGACCCGCTGCCCACTCATCCCTTTACTCTCACCCAGCCAACTGTCACTCTTCTTGCGTCATTCCCCCTCTTTCCAAGTTTAGATTTTCTGGTCTGCCATGTTAAGATTCTCGCCCTTCTCATCATTTAGATACACCCATATGACAAAAGCCCAATCCACAGTAGACCTTCTGATTCCACAGCTAGTACTTTTGGAAAAACATCACTCCTTTAAGCAGACAAGCTTAATAATTAAGTCAACTCTGGGTCCCTTATCACTTTCTAGCCAGACAACTGTGCTTCTTTCAGTGAACTCCTTTGTCGCTCTTCAATGACTATTTCAAACTCCATTCTCCTCAAGCTTTTTACCTTCCTTCTTATTCTCATCCTGCCCATCGCTATCTGTCCATGATTTTGACTTCTTTTCTAGGGGAGAAAAGAAGCTGTGGGGATCAGACAGGAAGTCCCTGGACTTTCCACTACCAAACTTAACATCCATCTTCTTCACCCACTTTCTTCTTCCCTTTGTTTTTCTGGAAATGGTGGCTCTGCCTTCCTTCTAAAGAAAATCTCTCCACCAGCACTTTGATCACTACCTTCTCCACCCCTGTCCTTTAAGGGATCATAAATAGTAAGCAATCAATTTCCATTTTATCTTGATTATTTAACTGCTCCTTCTGGGACTTCTATCCTTTTGATCACTAAACATACTAAATCCTCTCCTACGTGAAAAAATAAATCAAACAAACAAAACCCCATCTTTCTCCCTAAATTATGCTGCTCCAGTTATCCTTATGACTATTCCACTTCATAACTAAATTTCTTTTTTTTTTCTTTTTTAAAGATTGGCACCTGAGCTAACAACGGTTGCCAATCTTTTTTTTTATTTCCGCTTTTTCTTCCCAAATCCCCCCAGGATATAATTGTATATTATCGTTGTGGGTCCTTCTAGTTGTAGTATGTGGGATGCCACCTCAACATGGCCCAACGAGCGGTGCCATGTCCATCCGTGCCCAGGATCCGAACCAGAGAAACCCTGGGCTGCCGCAGTGGATCGCGCGAACTTAACCACTCGGCCACGGGGCTGGCCCCCATAACTAAATTTCTTGAAAGATATGTATATACTCTCTACTTCTTTTCTTCTTTAACTCAATCCTCATCCTACCTCAATCTGGCTTTCTTCCTTAATAAATAAATTAAATGGTACTAAAAAGTATACAATTAGAAAGAAGGAGACAAAATGATCATTCTTAAGTGAAATGATTACCTGGGAAACTCAAGAGCATAAAATGAAAACATTAAAAACTATCAAAAATTGAGTAAGATGGATAAGAAAAATATAGCTTTCATATACACAAAACTCACGAACTATATTACAGAAAAAAATTCCATTTATAATAACAATTTTAGAAAAAAATGGCCTCAATGTACTCAACAAGAAATTCTAAGATGTACTGCTCCATTTCTCTGTTCCTCTCTATATGCAGCAGAAAATGAAGGAGTTCTATGCAAATCCTCTCCTTCCAGCCTCTTTCGAAGCCACTCCAAACTAGTTTTTCCTCCCCACCATGCCTCCAAAATTGTTCTTGTCAAGATCACTGATGCACTGCATATGTGAAATCTGATGTTGAACTCTCAATCCTCATCTTATTCAATACTTACGAATTAAATAAATCACACCCTCCTCCTTAAATATTCACTCTCTTGACTTCAGTGATACACACTTTTGGTTTTCCTCTACCTCACATTAACTGGCTATTATTTTTCAGTCTCCTTTACAAGGTTAATCTCTTTTATTCAGTCATTAAGATTTGGAAATCTCAAGTCTTAGTCTTGGGTCCTCTTCTCATTCTATTCTATACTGCACATTATCTATATCCATGATTTTAATTAACATCTATATGTTGGTGGTAGCTAATTTTTTTCACTCCAGCTTAGAACTCTAGTTTAACCTTCAAACCTATATAGTCAACTTCTTATTCAAAATTTCCATATAGATTCCTCAAATGCACCTCAGATGCAACACATCCAAAACCGAAAACATGCTCTCCTTCCAGTTTTACCTTCCTCAGTAAATGGTGTACACCATCCGTCTATTGGGCTAATGAGACACGGAAGCTGAGAGTCAGGGGAAACCAAGCCAGTTATAGTTCACAGGAAGAGAATCAGAGCACAAAAGAAGAGAACCAGAGCACCACAGAGAGAAAATGCTGGAGTTCTTCAGCTGAATGTTTATCACTACATGAACGTGAGGAAACCAACCACAGGCTGGGAAGAACTACCAGAAATGAACAGAGATAAGAGGGCCCTGTGCCCACAGTGTGTTCTCACGAGTCAGACTGGAAAAACACGTGCCTCAGTGATGGGGAAGAATGTGCCATAGACCGAGCGCCGCTCTGGTTCTGCCTAATATATCTTAAGATTCCAAGCATCAAACTGTTTTCAAATAACAACCTCGTCAAGAGCACTCATATGCCTGCTCACAGCTGTCTCCCTCTTCTTGACAACGATATTCCCAGGGAGCTTCCTGTACATTCACTCCTTCCATGTTGTTTCTCCTGCTAGACCCCAAGCTCCATGAAGGCGGATGCATGACAGTCTCATGTAACGTAATATCCACCATGTCTAGCACACTGCATAGCCCACCATAAAATTTCAATTAACATTTGTAAAAATAACCAAATTCTCCTGAATCACCTTCAGTTTATTAATAGATATTGTTAAAATCATTTTTATCCTGTTTCAGTAACACACAGAGGGTCTTGTTCTCTGAACTATCACCCTGGGTCTCCCTTTTGAACAGCCAAACCCTTCCTCTGTCACATTACTGATCTGTCTTTTCATCGCAAGGCAGAGAGGTCGGTAGGTGTTGGGTCAGTATTAGATATTGAGATGGTTTCTGTCAGAAACTGTTGGATTTTGTACAAATCTTTCAGGTTCAGATAAGGGATGAGAAAAGAGCGCATGTTTACCTCATTGACGCTTCCCAAGCAGAGGACTGGCATTTGTGAGGAGCACAGATGGCTTCTTTAATAAAGAACATATTAACCATATATTTAAAGATACATCAGTGAGGCTAGGCCTCCCTAGGCTAGCAAAATGGGCAGCCTTTGGACACAGAATACAAGAAGGATATTTTCTGCAGTGGTAAACTTCTGCAATTTAGAGACTAAATTCTAGTGAACATGCCCGGAGAGCAGAGTCCGTAGAGAGATTTCTCCTCCTGAAGGTTCTCCCCTTGCCTCTGGCCCTGACATCTCAGAGCTGGTTTTGGCTAGGGCAAGTCTACAGTCCCTTCCAGTCAGATCCCAGTTTCCCTTTCCAGGCAGTCACTCATTTTGGCAATCTCTTAGCTCAATCTAGTCTCACCTTCAATTATCTCCTGCAGAAATTCCTCACACTTTTTGGCATCTGGATAGCATTCTTCATGTAGGTTCCAGGACTGATAAGGAAATACAAGGATGGGAAAAAGCCAGTATATTTTAAAGGGAACTTAGAACAAGGGTAGGGAATTAAATATGCATATTTATACTGCCACCTTAATCCAGAGCTTCAAATATTACTATACTGTTTGCTTCCTACTTATAATTGATCCTTTATTCCTTTATAATGATCTTCAATAAATTTTATAAATGGAATCAAAGTATTTTCTCAGGCAACTGTATTTTTCGAATAGGGTTTAATAACCACCAGGAGTTCTGAAGTTGATTTAATTAGTGAAATCAGCTTTCTTCCTTCTACCCTTAAGCCTAATTTAGGGGTGTGTCACTGCAGGACAGCTGTTCATAATGGTCCTTGGTGATGCTGGCATTAGAATGTCCCTTATTAAAATGAGATGTACTGATGTGTAATCTGCTACATGAATGACTCCATTTCTCACACTCTAGTCATTTGAGGGATAAAGCAAGGTTAAAGTTCCTTATTCTCCGCTCCTTTATAAACTGGCAGTTAAGTTTATGCATACATGTATTACTAGGTAATTTATATAACAAAAAGGTAATTATGTAAATATTAGATGACAATATTAAATATTTAATAATCCAATATGCCAGTAGTAGTTGATCATACATAGCCAAAGACATCCTCTCAGCCTATGAGGTTGCCACTTAGTAGCCTACACTATATAGAGGAGGAAAAAAGTGGTTTAACGCACAAAATGGGATGTTCTCCAGGTTAAATGAGTTTGTGCTCTTCAATTAACCACCTATGCCTGGGACTGAAATAAGCTCCATCTGTTAGATTGCCTATTATGTGCAATTACTCGCACATTCGTAATTCAATCCAGTCTAAACATTTTTTGACATACATTGAAGCAGATACTGATAAACAGGATTTGATGCTAACTAGCCAGTTGGCAAAGAAATGAATAATAGCTAGATGAAATCACTTCCCTCCATAAGCATAAATGGTGAGAATGGAAATATCCAGGCGTGGTCTGCAAGGTTATCTTCAGCCATGATGATTTACTATCAGCAGTAAGTGACTTAGGCTAAAGGAATATTGGATTTCCTAAGTACTTTAAGATACGCTTTCAGAAGCAGGGAAAAAGCCAAAGTGTCAGTTCCATTAAAATAATTACATCTCAAGTACACCCTTACTTTTACCTAAAGGCTTAAGATACTAGCATTTTTTCATATCTTTAATGCTCCTGAATTTTTATAATCTGTTAGGTAAATTGACATTTCATTATATATGCTATTTGTAGAATAAAATAACAGTATAATTTTTAAATCAATATATACAGTACGTAGAGCAATCTCTAAGAGGAGCCTGAGTTATTGCAAATGTATGAGCTATTTCCACGGAGGAAAAAGATGGAAAGCCCTTTCCCATTTGCATTTATAAAGCCTGCGTGACTTCTTTAAATATATACACTGGTGCCAACAGAGCCATCAGAAATCAATAAATCACATTCTCATGTGCTGTAAAATGTCTGACACACACATTCATTTTCCTAGTCCAAAATTCTCTGCAAAAGGGACTGTGTAAATGTTCCATTTTAGTTTAATGACATTCTCCACAGTTAAAATTATGTGCATTATTGCCAGTGAGTGAAAAAACCTGAAGAGCACAAAGCTAGATAGGATTTTAAAGAGCCTACACAGTACATATCCTTCAGCAGCCAGTCATTTAACAGACCACAGACACACAGATATGAATGCAGAACAAAATTGGGAGATTAGTAAGAATGGATTGAAATGCTGCAATTACCATTTGGACAAAAAAAATAATAGGCATAATTTATTTAGAAGCAGCTGGGGGAGGGTCTTGTAAGTATCTGGAGAGACAGCCCTGATAGCCCCAATACCACCAAATGGAGGCAGAGAGGAACATCACTTAAAAATGATACAGATGACAGAATTGACAACAACCTATTCATCAGTGATGTTCAATACGAAAGTGTAATAAAAACTTAAATATGACTCCACTTTAGTTGACATTTATTCCACCAGCTGCCACATATTTTTAAAAGGTCACAAAATTGCTCTATGTAGACAGTTTATAAAGTACAAATTCTTAAAGAAAGGAGGGATCTGCTATGTATAATCAAGAAAGTTCTAAAAATTCTCCAAGCACATCTTGCAGAGAGCCATGTACAAAAGCATGTCTGGCTACAACCCAAAGCACTGAATTTATTAAGCCAACATTCCCACAAGGGGACTGAATGAAGAACTAGCTACAATTCTACCTGTTCACTAGCACTGACCAATGCTGCTCTGACCCCTTGGTTTCTTTGTATTTGATCTCTGAACCGAAATGCTGTGGGTTTTGACTCATGTGTTTACCAAAATCTGATCATATTTGAAGCATGTTATTTTGAGGCTCTATGACATTTCATTCATAACATATCTTCCCTCCTTTGAACTCACATTTTCCTCTCCCTGAGATGTCCACTTACTTAAGCCCTTCTGACCTTACTTTTCTCCCTATCCAGCCTGGACTCCATAATCAACCACTCCAATAAGCTGCCCACAAGTCTCCTAAAACCACTCAGCTCCTTCAATTTGAGCCTCTCCGACACATCTATTATCAAGCTAAGTGCACAAATATTTAGCATCGTTGGGGTGAAAAACACATAAGTTGACCAACTGTGTCCACTGCCACCTAACCTCAAAAGGGGCCTCAACGCTGCTCAGCAACCACAGTGTTCCCAGGATGAATCCATTGGAGAATCCACCAAGTGGCTTTCCAAAGCCTTTTTACTCTCCTGAAACCTCTAACCCTCTAGTTTCCGAACAGACAAATATACCATCACCCTCACTTTCCACTGCACTCTTCACATTCAGTTATTTCTTCACTCCTTTTTCCTGCTTCTCTTCTCTCTGATATCAAAAATCAACACAATTTTTCTAAACCAGCTTCTTCACTATAGTCCCCAACCCTTCCCATCTATTCTAAAACTTTGGTCAATAAATCAAATCATCTCTCTGCTGTCTTCAATTTTTCCCGTCAACTGCCTCAATTTTTAGGACAAAAACATGTTTAAGTCTACCTTAGCTTAAAAATGTACCAATCCTTTGCTATTTTCAAATGCATAATAAACACTGCCTGAAAAGTGTATTCAATTCCTCCCTCCGCTCCAAATGCAATTACCAAGTCTTGATGATTTAATTTCTAAAATGTCTGCATGGAACTGAATTTTGCCCCCCTAAAATTCCTATGTTGAAGCCCTAACCCCCAATGTGACTGTATTCAGAGACGGGGCCTTTAATGAGGTAAGTGAGCATAAATGAGGTCACAATGGCTAGGCCCTAATCCAATCTGACTGGTGTTTTACAAAAAGAGGAAGGGACGGCAGGGATGCAGCCACACAGACAAAAGGCCATGTGAGGACAAATGAGAAGACGGCGTTCTGGAGGCCAAGGATAGAGGCTTTAGGAGAATCCAAGCATGTCAGCACCTTGATCCTGGACTTGAAGCCTCTAGAAGTGTGAGAAAATACATTTTTTCTTTTTGAGGAAGATTAGCCCTAAGCTAACATCCACTGACAATCCTCTTTTTGCTGAGGAAGACTGGCCCTGAGCTAACATCATTGGCCATCTTCCTCCTACCACAGCATGGCTCCACAAGCAGTATGTAAGCCTGCGCGAGGAATGAGTGAACCCTGGGCTGGAAAGTGGAGTGCAAGACCTTAACCGCTGTGCCATCTGCCACTGGGCCAGTCCCTACATTTCTGTTTTTAAGCCACTTATAGTCTGTGGTATTTTGTTATGGCAGCCTTAACAAATTAATTCAATGTCTCATAAATTAGGTCTTTCTTTTTCATCCTATAACGGCTTTCACTAAAGTTCTTATGTTTATCAGACATGTTAAACTAGCCTTATAGGTAGTTTCCCAGCCTCTATTCATTCATTCACTCACTCATTCATCCATTCAGAAAATATTTACTGAGACTTTACCACATGCCAGGCACAGAGAATATAAGAAACAAAGCTACTGTCCTGGAGCTTTTATTCTCATGAGAAAAGACAAGTGAACAGACACATAAGCAAGTTAATTATAGACTATAATAAGAGCAGAGAAGAAAATAAACAGAAAAATAAGACAGGAAACAACTAACGAGGGTATGTTAGATGGGAGGGGAGACAAGAAAAGCCTTTGTAAGGATGACGTTGAGACTCACTGGGTGGATGAGAATGAGGTGGCCTTGCCAAAAGATGCTGGGAAAGCATTCTTAGCAGAGCTGTTAGCAAGCACAGAGGCTACGATAGAACAGAAAGCTTAGGTTTGAGCGACAGGAAGGAAGGCAGTTTGCTAACCCACAGCAAGGTGGAAGGTGGGGATCTCCCTCTGCATGCTTCGCTCCTCCAATGAAACTCTTTGCTAAACTATAAATCTAATAACTTTATGCTCCAAATGTAAAATCTTGGCATGTCCTACATTGCTTACTGACACATGAGGCCTTTGTTAAAGGCCTGCTCTGTTTTACCTTCCTAGCCTCAACTTACTCACCCTCTATGCCAGGCATCTCAAGTTATGTGTTGATAGACATCGCATACTTCCCTGCCTGTGTCTTGGGGGCAAGGAACATCATTTAGGGGAGAGAGCATGAACTTGGAGTCAGACGAATCTGTGTTCAAATTCTGGCTCCCATGTTTTTATTCAGAAGAAGTCAGATAAATCATTTTTTCTCCCTGACCCTCAGTTTCCACATAAAGTGGAGTTAATAATGTGGACTCAGGAGAGTTATTGTAAGGCTTAGTGATAATCTATGTAGGATAATCTATGTAGTGATAATCTATGTAGGAGGCTTAGCATTGTAAGTAATAGATATTATTATTGACACATATTGTTTTATCTAGTAGGAATGTCCACCACACTTCTTAACCTGGTAAACTTCCTCCATCCTTCCAGATCCAGTTCAAATGACACCTTCTCTTTGGAGCCTATTCTAACTCCCACAGACAGAATACAATTATCTCCTCTTTGTTCCCGTAGCACAACACGTATACTACCACTGACACAGTTCTGTAACTCTAGGCTTTTATATCTCTCTCTCTCCTCTAGAACCATCACTTCTCTCAGGATAGGAACTGTGACTTCTTAATGTCTGTATCATCAGTGCTTGTCTGGCACATGATAGGTGTTAAATAAACATTGGTTGAATGAATGCATGAACTATATATCCTATTCCTTCCCAAAACCACTAGAATTTGCTTACAGCCATATAATTCTATAATTGTTTATTTCCACATTATTCTATTTCCTCAAAAGGTGTGTCAGTCAGGAGTCCCTGCAGGCACAGATGGCTCATTCAAGTTAGCTTCATTCGAAGAGAGTAGATTAAAGTAACTACTTATAAAAGTGTGATCAAGGTGCAGCAAAACCATAGAAGACAGTGCAGTAAAAAGGGCTAATAATGGGGGGTAGTATTTCACCTGAAGGGTAAGGGGAGAAGGTGCTTATCATAATTTGGACAGAGAGAGGACCTTCTGATAGGAGCTGGTCAATGGATGCAGTCCATGCTGACCACACAGGGAAGGTGAGGGGCTCAATCTCACTCAAGCCTGTTGGGGCTCCCCAACAGCTAAACCTACTTAGAATCCAGAGGGCCTTCTCCTCTCCCTCTTGAATAATTCAGGCCAGAAGCTTAAAGCAATATAGGCCCCTGTGTTAGAGAAGGAGCAGAGGGGCCCATGATGGCCCAGGGTAGGAGCACAGAGCCTAGTGGATGAGGTAGGTATCCATATGGAGGGGAGTCCTGGAGAGGGGTTGCAGAGACAGAGGATGGTGAGAAGGGTACCTGCACAGAGGATTGGCCTGATGTACAGTGTCAGAGGTCAAGCACAAAGGGGAAGGTGCCAGGTGCCCAAGCCGGATGGGTGGGTAGGTGGCCTACCATGGAGAGTCAGAGCCTGAGTGCAGTAAGGAGACCATCCACATGGGAGAGGTATGGTGGCCAAGATGGAAGATTGGTGATCTATAAGGGGATTAATCAAATATTTAGATATATTATGGGTAACAGAAACTGGGTTTCTTACTGTCAGTCTTAGACAGCTATGGAAAGGGATAAAACTACAATGAACCACAGAGTCTTAGATTAGGATTGGAGGCATTAGTGTGAATTCATGATTGACGAGATATAGAGATACATATAGAAATACATGTAGATATAAATTGTGCTATGTTTATGTATTGTGAATAGGCTCATGCTCTTTCTTCTATAGGATGTTCCTTGTCTCCAAGACACAGAAGTAAGGAGGTGTTGCCACAAACATACATGCATACACACGTGCGTATGTATGTACACATTCACACATATACAAACATATATTTTCTAACTCTGACCTAGAACTGGGAGCAGCAACACCCCAATAGCAAAGAGCACACGTTTTGTGAGATCTTGATTTCTAAACACCAGCCTCCACTAAAGGGAACCATGGCTCCTTGGAGAAAGGGTTCATATTCCAGGGCTTGGGCATGGAAAGTTAAGATGAGATTGGAACAGTTTGATGTGCTTCAAAGTAATGAAGTGCTCAAAGAGTGATGGAGACATGTCAGAAGACCCAGGAGCCAGCTTGAACAGGCTCCCAGTGACCAAATGTGGGACAATTTGAGCACAATAACCTGTAGAAAAAAACAGAAAACAATGAAACCATACAGATATAAATAAATTAATAAATTGAGAGTCTGAAGAGGAAGAGGATATTTACCCAGTTTAAAAGAATCTCTTCAGAAAATACTATTTAATTATAAAGAGGGAAGAAGTAACTTTACACTGGAGAAGCTTGGCAGATACATTTTAATCAAAAGATCAAGAAAACAATATCACTACTGGAACAAATCAAAATTGTGTGCCAACTAATAGGTGCAGGGAGAATAGAGCATCATTTATCTTATCTTTCCCAAAGGCACAGAATCTGAATCTAATCACAAGGAAACATCACATGAACTCAAACTGGCTTACAATCTTCAAAAGTGTCAAAATCATGAAAGTCAAGGGAAGACTGAAGAATTATTACAGAAGAAAGGAGACTAAAGAGATATGACAACTAAATGCAATGACAAAGTCTGTACTCGATCTTGTTGCTAAAAGTGACATTATTGAGATAAGTGGCTAAACTTGAATAGAGCCTAAGACTCACATGGTAATAGTGATCACTGTTAATTTCCTGATCTTGACTGGTTGCATTGTGATTATGTAAGAGAATGTCCTTGTTTGTAGAAAAAACCTTAAAGTCACAATATATTTGGGGCGGGAGGGAAGTGAATGGATAATTAGCCTTGAAACTTACTCTCCAGTGTATCTTCAAATTCTCAGAAAGTTTATGATTATTTCAACATTAAAAAAAAGAAAAAGAAGACAGAAAGCATAGCTCCTCCTGATGCAGGAGTCCATATATGGGTTAGCCTCATGGGAGCAAAGCAGAGTTAAGGAGGCTGAAGGCAGGATCTAGAGGAACAAAGGAAAGACATCCTACTGGCTCCCCAATGACCTCCTAATGTCCATTTGATACTATTGCCTGTGCATAATCTCCACATTGATAATCCCTCCTGGATTTGCTATTTTCTATCTATTCCCTGGCTCCTTCCCATATTCTTTCTTATCATATTCTCTTACAAATATCTGTGTTCCTCTAGGATGACTATGATACCCGCAGTCTCATCAAATCCCACAGTTGACATAATAATCTAGGTAGATTTTATCACTAACTCCATCTTCTCCAGTTTCAAAACCCGAAAATACAATCATTTCTGGACACTTCATGTAGTAGAAGCATCTCAACCCAACACATTAAAACCAAACTCAGTATCTACCCCACTACAGTAGGTACTATTAATTGCCTACCAAGCATCTCTCCCTCCCCATATCCCAACGCATCTCTAACAGAATTCCCCCAAAAACAGAATTCTAAAGGATCCCTGACCTCTACCACAGCGTACCATTTTGCTTCAGGAGATGGTGAGTACTCTAAGGTTCAAAAGTAGGCCTGGTTGCCTTAAACCAATGTGCATATTCCATTTACTCAGCTAGAGTCATTGTTTAAGAAGTGGTCATGAAGCTGACTACTGAGGGTTACCATAAACATTCAATAAGAACATGGTTAGCCTTCAACCTTGTTCCCAACACAGACAGAGATGAAAAGAAGTTAATCTCGTTAATTTGCTGTTTTCTTAACTTGAGGGATGACTCAAGGGTCACAAGGATTTAGGAGCATGTTTTGCAGAAGAAAAAGAATACCTTTAAGGAAGTTACAACCACCAGATAACCCGCCCCCAGCTACTGCACCCAGATGACTGGTTGTCCAAGGGCTTATCTGGATTGAAAGAAAAGGACTTCCCTTTGTTTCTCCAAAACTCCTCCTCACAAGCCCCTTAGCTCTACAAAGACTCCAATTTCTTCTTTTGTTAAGGCAGATTTGAGAGAACCTATCCTCCCACCTTTTCATTTTGGCCAACTGGAATAAATCTTTCTCCATCTCCAGTGTAGGTGTCTCAGTGATTGGCTTACTGTGCATACAAACTGGTAATTAAGAGGCTCAGTATCAGTCATGTGATCTAAGTAGTACCATTAGCGTGAATCACAGGTCTTTTCTTTGAAATACAGGGACAGAAGTATTTTCCCCATGAATGTGAGCCAAGAGGCAAGCACCCATGTTTTGATTCAGGCAGCCATCCTATCACAAAGAGGTTTAGGTTAGGATAGTGCCAACAACAAAAGAGAAGAGCTTTTAAATTAATTTATTTAAAATAATAATTAAATGAGTCCTTGATAATAACTGAATTCCAGGACCAACAACCAGAAGTCCATTCTAACCTCTATTTTCTAATTACCTGAGCCAATAAATCCCCTTTATGTTTAAGTCAGTTTGAGTTTGATTTTCTGTTACTTGAAATATAATGGTGGAGAGTAAAATTAAATATAAAACTAGATGTGGCAATGTTATAAAACAACGAGGAGTATGTAAAAAAAATCTAATCTAAGATAAACAGACCTCTAAAAAAGAAAGAAAAGTACAAATACAGAAAAACAAAATACCAGACAGGCTGGCTTAATGACAGTTGGCACTAGCAAGGTAAATGGGAAACCAGCTTCCCATATTTTAAAGATGTAATAATGGAATGAAGCTCATCTTATTATGGCCCAGAGTAGGAGGCCCTGTAGGGCTGCTTCAGGGGAGAAATCAGGCAGAAACAGGGTAGTCAAAGAAAGGAAATGAGAAAGGTGGGAATTTCAGATTTAGTAAAAATAGGTTAAGACAAGCTTTCATACAAGTAAAATTCTTAGGTATGTCACATAATTATAGTACCTTCCAGTGGCTCAAATAAATCTATATAATCAGAATCACATTTCCATATTCCAGGTTCATGTTCCAGGGCTGGGGCATGGGCCATGCCTTTTCTAGTCATTCTGGCCCAGAAATTGGTGGTATACATCCACATTTGGATATTTATAAGCTGGGCTGAAACAGCAGCAGTTTGGGTAGCTTGTTGCATCAAGTCGCCTGTCCCTTTCTGCTAGGAGAGAGGGTTGAGCTCACCTCCAGCAGGGCAGAGACAGAGAGAGCTCTAAATTTCTTGGTAGCAAATGCTGATAGGCTCACAGAGCCTTTCTGTCCTCCCAAGTCACCCTAGATAAGATCTCCAGTTGCCTTCTAGACCTTTTACAACCCCATCCCACAGGCAATCTGTCATTTATTCCTACTCATCTGGGTTGAAAAATATGCCTGGAATTCAGTGCCTTCTTTTCATTTCCAAGGCCAATGTCCAAGATCAGACCCTCATCTCATATCTCAACTACTGCAATTGTCTCTAACCCAGTCTCACAGGGTCTCATCTTTCTGCTGTCCAATCCATCATTCCCACGGCTACTGACTCCTAAGAGAAAACAGAGACTGAATTGTATTTATCCTTTGTATTTATCCTTCTTTCCCTCACCTATGTCTAGGCACTAAAACAACTGTTTAAATTATTCTATGCATGCCATTTCTCATGTGAAAACCTCTCTGATGGTACCAGCTGGTTTCAGAAAGTGTTCAAAGAGTTTAGTCTACAGCCAGGTCATCAAGGTTGTAGACCATACTACCCTTCAGCACAGTATCTCATGTCTTTTCCCTGCAAGATGGTCCAGTTATACTGTACTACTGAATCTTCTGGAACACACAAGCATCAAGTCTTTGTAAATGACATGCTCTTCCTCTGTGCAATTCACTTTCCCTTGGCTCTACTTACAAAACACCTATCAGTTCTTCAAGCTTCAACTAAAGTATGTCTGCTACCATAAAATCTTCTCCAATACTATTTTCAGATTAAAGTTCTTACTCCTCTGCATCTTTAGAGGACTTTATACTTCTATTTGACATTTATGTTACTCTGCCTGGTCTTATACTAAATTTGGTGTGGACGTCGTCTAGTTATTAGACTTCTTTCCCAGTAATGAGCAAAGAGTATTGTATTTCAGCATGAGGTTGTCTTTCTCTTCTGTTATTTCTCCACAAGAATCATTCTTGTATCCTCTGTATTTAGAAAAGTGTATGTAGCACATAATACATGCTCAGTAAATATTTCTTGAAGAAATAATTTCCCAATGGACTAAATTTTTGAGGACTAATTTGATGAATATTTGAGGACAGGAATTGTGCCTTATTCATATTTCTCACAGTGACTAGAAAAAACTCAGTAACAGAAACTGTTACAGGTTGAATAAAATATATATGCCAAAACTTATTCCAAGAGCAGGAGACAGAATTGTAAATAGATAAACCACATATATGTTGAAGTGGAGGAAATAGTTGTGTAGCTAATAAATCACTTTCCCTTGCCCCCCAAAATAAAGTTTTTCCTAATGCCTGAACTCAATTCTCAGTTATACAAACTTGAAACCCAAGAATCATCAGTGGCTTCTTCCTATACCATGCTTCAAGTGTTATCTGACAAAATGTAAAATTGCTACCACTGGATGATGATGATGATGATGATGATAATGACGGTGATGGTGGTGGTGGTGGTGATGGTGATGATTGCACTATCCTTCTCCTCTTTAACTTCAACATTATTCTCCAAATTCAAGTCCTCATTTTGCCTTTTTGGAACAACTAAAATTGCTTTCTAACAACTCTTTCCACTTTCATGCTTTCCATCTCTAACATTCCCTTTCAGTACTGCCAGAATAATTTTCTTAAAAAGCAACAATCTTATTATATTCTAGCTCTGCTCAAAGGCCCTCCATGGCTTTTGCACTGCAAACACAGGAAGAACACTGTTCAGACTCTTTAGTCTCATAGTCAAGAAATATTCCAAAATTGACTTCTAATTTATCTTTCCAGATTCATTTGCACTGTTCTTCCTATTATCCAGACTCCCACAAAATTAGTTTTGATTTTGTATTTTCAAACCTTGCACTTGGTACATTTCCATCTATTTTATTCAGATTCTGCCTATATCTCAAGCGCCCAATTCAAGGATCTTAAATGTGTCTCTGATTTTTCCCCTCTGCATATGAAAGCTCAATATACTTTGTGCTTTTCCCCCACTAAGCTTACCCGTTTCTGTCTCATATTTTGATTATTCACAAATACGGCTTATGTATCCAACTAGAGCATATTTAATCATTGATTCAATAAACATATAATAGGCACTTACTGTTTTTCATTATTCCAAAGCACCTAAAACATATCATATTCATAGTAAATATTAAACAAATTTTTGTGGGATGAAGACAAACTCCAAATCAACAAAATTGCACCCAAAATAATATTTTTCTAAACTCAAACAATAATCTCCACCAAAGAGATACATCAGAATGGAAGAAAACTGTAGCACATCAAATTTTAAGTATGTATGAAAAGAGATGGGTGTTAGTAGAAAACAGAATCAAATAAAAAGCTAAGAAAATTTATTCAAAGTAATATGGAAATATTGAACCAATTTTGCCCATTTCAATTTATAGATGTATCTATCATTTTAAGATGCAAATTCATAAACACACATGCATTATGTCCATCAACTGGAAACTATATACAGTGTGAAAATTTATTGAAATGAGAATCACAAGGAAATGTTTCCTAGTCACCATTTAATATTTTTTGTGAAATCTAATAAAAGTTTATGTGATGAAATCTTTTTTTTTCCTTTTCTTTCCTAAGGAAACAGCTTGAGAAGATGATTGATGCCTGCTATTATAGGTCTATATTTGTATTTCCTTATTTTAGAAGCTTTTCAAAAATACATTTAAAGCATTTCTAGTTACACTAAAAAAAAGATAAAAGGTGATTATTTATAGGCAATCATATTCAGGATGATAGACTCTCAGAAGGCAACTGCAAACATAAATTTTAAATGCTTTTTGGAAAGAGTTGAGAATAAAAACATTTACATAATTTCTTAGAAACCCTGGCTTTTTATTGCTGCACTTCAATATTCCCTCGGGGTAAAGGAGCAGCTACTTCAAAGATTTATTTGATAATGGAATGTTTGATTTCTTTGTTTTCCCTTTCCAATGTGGGGAGGTCTGTCGTTTTCACTCCAAGGCAATGTGCTGTATTTTAAAATGTGAATTGGCTCACTACTGATAATAAAAAATAGTTCTGTTTTGGTAGATTAAACAAATACACCAATGCTAGCAATAAGTATGTAAATTACATAACATGTTATTACAAAATGGTCCATGCATGTATTAGTCATCTTCAATAACAGACCTGTCTCTTAATAATATAACTATTGACTAATACTACATGTCTAAAACTTCTACTTACCTGCCTATCCACTTCTGGGAGCAAAAGCAGGAGGTATTGTTGGAAATGCTGAGGTAAGGAAGCAAACGTATGTTTATTTATTAATGCCCTCAAGTTAGTGTTGACAAGAATAGATCCTGGGGTTTCTATATCAATGTCCTCAGCTTTGGTCCATTTCAAGTGTCCTGTGATTGAACAAGCGAGAAGCATAAATTTACTATAGATTGGGAAAAACATGCAGGTGCACACATACATAAGTATATACTGAACACTGATAGATACTCAATAACATTTTTAATTCTATTACTCAATAACATTTTTAATTCTATCACTTTTAAAAATGATATTTTAGAAGGAAATCTGCAAAGCTTCCTTGTGTTTCTGTCTTGTCAGTTGTCTTTATTTTCATAATGTATTCTTCACTCAATACTATCTATATTTTTAACTCCCAGTAGCAGTAGGTCTAAAAGAGAAGTATTTTAATTCTGATCTTCCAATTAATCAGAAGTTTCAAAAACTTTGGGAGCATAAATGGTAACAACTACAGTTTTTGTAGATTCTCTAAGACCTAGGATCAATGATAACAATAACAACAGTGCTGTTAATTTTGAGAGAGATGATGATAGCACTGGGAGCTGATAGCTGTGTGCTCCCCATGTGTCAGGAAGAGCAATAATCGCTGGATTATTTCAGAAGATTCCTATTCAAGGTATTTTGAGGGTAATACTTTGAAAAGTAATCCTTTATAAAAACATTAGCTGTGAGGTCTGAAATACCAATATGCTTTGAAGGATAATCCTCGAAGCACTCTGACCTCCACCAGAAGGCTGTATTTAGATTTCACAACTCAAATTATGACACACAAAAGACTGATCCACCATAAGGGACAGTCAGCTGATGCATCAACCAGGATAGTTACCACTCTCAGTTACTTGAGTTAAGAGGACCACTTCATTGTGATTTTAACAGACTATGCTTTAAATCAAGGGTCAATAAATTATGGCCCATGAGCTATATCCAGTCCAATACCTGTTTTGGTAAATAAAGTTTTACTGGAACACAGTCATGCCCAATTGTTTAGATATTGTCTTGGTCTGCCTAGTTGTGACAGAAATCGTATGACCTGCAAAGCCTACAGCATTTACTCTCTGGCCCTTGTTTTAAATAATTAGGGACAAAAGAAGAAATAAAAACCAATATGATAAAAACAGGACACTATGGTTAAAAAAATAAGCAAATTTGAAAGAGAACCAGATGGAACTTCTAAAAATGAAAAGTTAGTTTTTAAAAAACATTTTTAAATATTCAATGGACATAGCAGAGAAAAGAATTATTGAAAAATTAAAATAGTTGATAAAACTAGAATGCAGCATAAAAAAGATCAGTCAAAAAACAGAATAGAGAAGAAATACAGAGAATGGAAGAAGCAGTCAGAATGCACACTTATGGGAATCTCAGAAAGAAAAAACAGCAGACGACAGAGAGGCAATATTTAAAGAGCTAATGGCTGAAATTTTTAGAACTGAAAAAAATGGCAAGAGTCCTCAGATAAAGCAATACATGAAATCTCAAGAAACATAAATACCCATTCCACCATTCGATGTGCTGAAATCGCAAAACATCAAAAATAAAAATAACATCTTAAAACAATTTTGAACAAAAATAGATTACCTCCAAAAGGATGACAACAAAGAAAGCTTATTGTCAATAAACAACAGATGACAGTGGAATATCTTCAAAGGTCCAAGAAACAAGAAGTGTCAATCTGGAATTTCATTAATAACAAAGTCTCTCAAGATAGTAGTGATACAAGAACATTTCAGTATCCAAAAGGGAAACTCCATCCCTTAGAGAATCTTACTGAAATAACCACTAGTGGATGTTCTTAACAAATAAAGACATTAAATCCAAAAAGGAAGGAGTGGGCTGCAGTAGCAATGGTAAGCCAAAAGGCTAACAGATATGACTAACTCAAAATAAGCACGAACAGTGAAAAATAGGACAAATAACTAATGAGAGTTAAAATAACGTGGAAATAAAATAGTAGACAATAATTGCATGCAAGATGGGAAGGTGTAACTGAAATGACAGCACCATTAAATTCTGGCATTTGGGAACAAGAGCAATACAGATTACTTCTTTACTTTGTTAAAACTCTATAGGTAGCCATTGGAAGAAATGAAAAAGACTTCTAACTTCCAAATAAATACATGGAAGGAAAACTCAGTCAATCAAATGGAAGGCACAAAAGGAGAAAAAAAAATTTTAAATTTAGTGCAACACAATCAAAATAAATATAAATGGATTTTAATATTAGATTTAAAAGTAACACGATCCAATTATATGCTCCTTACAAGAGATATACTTAAAATAAAAATCCCATGGAATGGATGAAAATGAGCCGATAAGCCAAAAAGATACTAGGTAAACATTCAAAACAACAAAAAGCAATACTACAATATTAACATCAGATAAGAGAAGGTAAAAAACCTTACTGGGGATGATGAAGATCATTCCTTAAGTGTAAACGGAATAATTCACTGGGAAAATATAATGCCTTATGCCTGCATCTATTTAAACAGCATAGTACTCAAAATTTAAAACTGAGGGAATAAAAAAGAAAAATTGGCATTATACAATGTTAATGGGAAGTTTTAACATACTTCACCAGAAACTGAGATATCAGACAAAAAACGTGTCATAAGAACACAGATGACATTAACAACTCAATAATCAATCTTGAATTGAACTAATGAATTTAAAACAGGGCACTGGTCTCAGCCCTGCAGAAAAAGCAATTTTTTGACCGTACTCAAGAAAGAGTAAGAAAAAAAAAAAAAATGACCACTGAGGCTCAACAATTACTGAAGAATAGTATAAACATCTCTCCACAAAGAAATAAAATTAGGTATCTATAAAACAGACATAGCAACTCTCCAATTCTCCTACACCCACTATATACTTGGACATTCAAAAGCACACTTCTAAGTACTTCATAAGTTAAAGAAAAAAAGATTTATAACGGAAATTGCAAAATATTTGGATTCTAAATGACAACGCCAAAATTTGTAAAATGCAGCTCAATTGGTTTGAAACATAAATTGTCACATTAGAGAGCGGAAAAATATTGAAAATTCAAGGATTAAGTGTACAAATCAAGAAGTTTTTATAAATGAACCACAGAACAGAAACTTGAGAAAGAATGAAGGAAATATTGTAAGAATAAGAGTGGACTTTATGAAACAGAAACGGAGAACAATTGAAGATCACCAGCAACAAAAAAAAAGTTTTTTCTTTTTATTACGCTAATAAAATAGGTCTAAGTCTAGTGAGAGATGACACGAATAAACATGAATAGGAATGAAAGGTAGGCATATAATTTGAGATATAAGATAGATTTGAAAAGCAGATATAATTGTAAGTAGATTTTGAAAAGCATAACATAATACTATGACTTTAGCCAGTATCTTTGAAAACAGATAAACTATTTTAAGTTTATAAATTTTCAAATTTAACTTAGAAACAGAAAATCTGAGTAAATTTGTCAAAGCTTCAAAAAAATGAATATGCAGCCCCCTGCCCCATATACACACAAAGCAGATAGTATAAAATAGCTCTAAAGATGAATTTTACTAACATATCACAGAACTCTCCCACCACTTCACTTTATACGTATTCCAGTGAATAAGTAAAGAAAGAAAGCTCTTCAATACAATTTATGAAGTTAATATAAACTTTATTCCAAAATAAGGACAAACAAGGACAATATAAGAGAAAATTTATCAGCCAATCTCACTTATAAACACAAAAAAGTATAAAAGTTGTATCTATCATTTTAAATCTAAAGTAAATCTGACAAGCTCCTAACATTTGTTGAGTCAAGGTGATGTGTATATAGATGTCTGCTTTATTAGCATCTGTATTTTTCTGTATGTTTGAAGTATTTCACAATAAAAAAAAAAATAGGCCACAAGAAGAGAAATAGAAAGGAGTTTCTTTTCTCAGCAGAGGAAGCAAAGGCAAAACCTAGAGACAGAAATGTTGAAAAACGTAGGCAAGAAATTTGCTTTATTCTTATTTACGGCCTAATATTCTCAATACGATGGAGGTGAGGTCATTTACCAAGAATGACTCTAGGAGGGAGTATTGGGGAAATGAGAAAATTATAAAATTTTGAAACATGTTACGGGCAACATGAGAAGTAGGATTTATCCTGTTGATTACTATTTGGTATAGTTCAAAATCTTTAAGAATATCATAGAAAAAAGAAGATTCGGAGAGGTACATAGTCTTTTATGACAAAGTCAAAAGAAGAGCTATTTCAAAGATGTCCAACTAAGCAAAACATGTTTTATAGTTTTGGAACAAAGACACAACAGATGAACTTATTGCTCAATTTGTTGCCACACAAGATATTTAATTCCACTTTAATTATCCTTTCACACTTACTCTTAATTGGCTTAAGAACAATCCAATTATATCTGATTGTCTTATCTTGTTACAGCTGGTACCTCATCTCCCTAACAGTATCAGGAGGAAGAGAAAGAGGTAGTCATTGTAGGGTCTAATTCCTGGACACTAGAGAGTGTAAAGAAGTTAAGATCGAGAGGAGGAAAGAGAAGTAACAATTGCCAAATTGACACAGA